GACTTCACCTACATTTAAAACTTTTGTGCTTCAAGACACATGGTCAAAAAAGTTAAAAAGACAACTTATAGTCCGGCCAGTGTGGGTCAGTGGATTGAACATTACCCCATGGACTGAGAGGTCCCGGTTCAATTCCCGGTCAGAGCACATGCCCAGGTTTCGGACACGATCCCCAGTAGGGGGCGTGCAGGAGGCGGCCTATCCATGTTTCTATCTTTCCTCTATCTCAAAAAAAAAAAAAAAAAAAAAAAGACAACTCATAGACTGGGGAAAAAAACTTGCAAATCATTTATCTGATAAAGGACTTGTATCTAGAATCATATAAAGAGCTCTTACAACTCAATAATAAAAATAAATAACTCAATTTTTTAAATGGACAAAGGAGATATTGTATTAAATGTTCTTATAACATTAAGTGTTCAAATTAAAATGAGCAAAGGATCTGCATACATTTATTTTTATTTTATTTTTACCAGAGAAGTTATACACTTGGCCAATAAGCACAGGAAAATCATTAGCCATCAGGGAAATGCAAATTAAAACCAAAATGAGCCCTGGCCAGTTTGGCTCAGCGGTTAGAGCATCAGCCTGCGGTCCAGAGAGACTCGGGTTCGGTTCCCGCTAAGGGCACGTACCTCTGTTGCAGTTTGTCCCCGGCCCTGGTTGGGTCATGCGGGTGGCAGCCACTAGATGTGTCCCTTTCACGTGGATGTTTCTCTCTCTCTCTCTCCCACTCTATCTGAACAAAAAATAGAAAAATGTCCTCAGGTGAGGATTAAAAAAAAAACAAAAACAAAAAACACAATGAGATACCACTTCACGTCCACTAGGATGACTAGAATCAAAAAGACAATCAACACTAACAAATGTTGACAAGGATGTAGAGAAAATGGAAGCCTCGTACACTGCTGGCGGGAATGTAAAGTAGTTCAGGCACTTTGGAAAACAACCTGGCGGTCCTCAGAAGCTGAAACATAGAGTCACCATTTGACCAAGCAATTCTGCTAAGTCTGTGTCCGAGAGAAGCAGAAGCATACGTCCACATGTCGCAAATGTTCGTAGCATTACTTTGTTCATTTCCCAATTTTATTTTACTTATTTATATTTTGTCCCTCCACTATTGGAACTATTAGAACTAATAAATGAGCTCATTAAGGTTGCAGGAAACAAGGTCAATATACAGACACAAATATTTCTATATAGCAGCACTGAGCAAACAAAAAATAAAATTTAAAAAATGATTTTATATATATTTTATATATATTAAATAGATTATATATATTTTTCTAATCCCCTACTGCTCTCCCCTTCAACAACCATCAGCCTTTTCTCTATATCTATGTGTTTGTTTCTATTTTGTTTGTTCATTTGTCTTGTTTTTTTAGATTCCACATATAAGTAAAGTCATATGGCATCTGTCTTTCTTTGTCTGACTTATTTCACTCAGCAAAATAACCTCTAGGTCCATCCATGTTTTCCCACATGGCAAGATTTTATTCTTTTTATTAATGAATACTATTTCATTATTAATGAATACTATTTCATATTCATTTTTATCAATGAATACTATTTTATTCATGAATACTATTCATTACTATTACATATTACATCTTCTTTATCCATTTATCTACTGATGGACATCTAGGCTGCTTCCATATCTTGGCTATTGTAAATAATGCTACAATGAACATAGCAGTGTATATGTCTTTTTTTGTATTGGTGTTTTTGTTTTCTTTGGATACATAGCCCGAAGTGGAGTTGCTGGGTTGTATGGCAACTCTATTTTTAATTTTTTAAAGGATTATCCATACTGTTTTCCATAGTGGCTGTACTAGTTGACAATCCCACCAACAGTATAGGGGCTTCCCTTCTCTATACATCCTTGCCAGCACTTACTATTTATTGATTTATTGATGATAGCTATTCTGATAGGCATGAGATATCTCATTGTGGTTTTAATTTGCCTTTCCCTGGTGATTAGTGAAGTTGGGCATTTTCTCATATATCTGTTGGCCATCTGTACATCCTCTTTGTAGAAATATCTATTCATATCCTCTGTCCACTTTTTGGTGCTATTGGTTTTGTGTGTTTGTTTTTTTAAGAAAAATGGGTTCATTTCAAGAAAAGAGGACGGGGGTTCGGGGAGCATCCAAAGGGAAGTCCTGCACGTCCCCGAGCCAGGGGGAACTGTCCACTGGAGGGACGCTTTGCCAGTCCGTGGGTTCTGGGTCTCGGCTGGTGGGGCTGGGCAGGGGGTGAGGGCTACAGGAATGCAGATGTGCGAATGGGTGTTTCTTTGGTTCCTGGTGTCCGGAGGCATTTCTTGTTCGGGAGTTATCCTGCGGCAGGAAGTTTGACCTTTGTTTTCCTTGGTTGGGGAGGCTTGCGAAAGGGCCGTTAGGAATTATATTGCCTGCCTTAGTCCTAACATTTCCCTCCTCTTGCTGTTGGTTAGGAATTATTCTTACAGAATCGGGGCAGAGGTCTCTCTCTTCTGCGCTGCTTCCTGCTGGGTGTGGGTGTGGAGCGGTCCCTGGGCCGGTGAGCATGTGGGGGGTTGGGGAAGAAGGGCAGGGTAAGTTCTACAGGCCGTGGTCAGGGCTATTTGTTCGCCTGTAATGGTTCATACATGGTTTTGAGAAAGAAAAGGAAGGCACGGATGGTCTTCCAAAGTGAGACCAATATTGTGTAAACAATTAGCCAGGTATTTAATAAGAGAAAGTCCTGTGAAAACAACAGAAAAGCAAAGGTTAGTGATCACAGCAAAGTATAAGCCACTTTCTGGGTCTGTAAGACTGTCCGTCGAGAAGGCTGAAAGTCTCTGTTGCTGGACTACAAGCCAGCGGTGACCACTGGACAGCATCGAGTGCTCAGGTCCATCCGGCATGGTTGACATTGGAGCAGTCGTTTGTAATAACTCCAAGTCAAAGGATGGGAAAGAAAACAGTGAAACAGTTTGGAGGGTTGAAGACAACTAGAAGAATACAGGATCCAGTTTAGTTCCCAGATAAAGACAAAACTTTGAAGACAATCAACTGTGCTAGCGTCCAATATTCACAATCGGGCACTGTGATTTTCACTGTAACAAAATTTCTCTCCCTAAATCACCCTCATTTTTATTAAAGAGACTGCATCAGGTCTGGCTTTAATTTGGCCTGATTATTTGCACAAACATGACAAGAATTAGAAGTTGATGAGCTTTATCGAATCTGTTTGGCTGGAATGTCAGTCATTCATAAGGAATCTGTAGATTGAGCTCTAAGGAGCAGTCAGCCGTCAGCCCTCAGGGCGGAGGGGCCAACATCAGGACTGCCTGGAATTCTTGCAGATTTGGGTCATGTCTTCAAGTCCTTCAGGTTCCCAACGTGTTGACTGAGGTTCCTTTTCTGCCATCTTTCAATAAAACAACCTTCATTCCTTACCTGGAAAAATTGCCATGAACCCTTGACCAAGCAAGGTACCAGGCCAAGGTACTACAAGTGGCTTCTGATGGGCTTCGATCGGTCTTGAGAATCAATCCCAATTCTTAAGGCTTTTTGGTGACCTCCAGAGTCCAAGCATGTCTCTCCTGACCATGCCATTCTAATCAAAGACTCGTAATAAAACCACAACTGGAACCTGGGTTCATGTGTTCTATTTTAAAGAGAACAGATTCTTATTCCATTTATGCAAATACATATATTGTCATGCAAATAATACTCATTGAGCGCTGCAAAATTCTGAAGGGATTCAGTAGGAAGAAAAATGTAAATGCTTCAATATTGTTTGAAGATATGATGTACCATGTTGTTTTAGGGAGATGAAAACAAGCTTCCTTATATCTGGAAAACAAAATATTTTCCCCTGAATCTAGTTATTTCTTCAAGTTTTATATTTCACCGAGATGACCTGCTTAGAAACCTGCAACCTAGAATAAGTCAGAGGAGTCCTTTTCACGAACTTGTCCAGAAATGTAACATATTTACAAATGCATTAGACTCTAATGATTAGAGTAAGGCAATGACTGCCTATAAGTGATGAAATTTAAAATGATGTGGTTATACCAGGCCAGTGTCGCTCAGTGGTTGAGCATCGACCTTGCACCAAAAGATCACTAGTTCGATTCCCTGTCGAGGCACATGCCCAGGTTGTGGGCCCGATCCCCAGTGGGGGGCATGCAGGAGGCGGCCAATCTATGTTCTCTCTCATCAATGTTTCCATCTCTCTCTCCCTCTCCCTTCTTCTCTCTCTAAAATCAATAAAGAAAAAAAAATGATGTGATTATAGACTTGATTATAATACAATTGATAAAGAATTTTGCTTTTCTGCAAGATATAACACTCTAAGATAACAATTTCTTGGTAAATAATAATTATTATGAAATGCCATAAAAACAAAACAATATAAAGCGCACACTTTCAGATTCAATACACAATTTCTTTCTTTTCTTTTTCTTTTTTTTCCGGATGAGCCAAGCGTTTTATTTAATTACAACAAGAAAGCGCTCACCTGTTCTCGACTGAGAACAACATGCAGGCCTGTACTGAAAACACGCCTGGCCAGTCTCCAGACATCATTGGCCCAGTCCCGAGCCGGGCGCTGAAACCACGGCTGGCCCCTGCGCTGCAGGGAGCTAAAGAGGACTCCAGCCTGCATTTCTCGGTCTCTCGTTTTCCATCATCACCCATCGGGACAGTGAGTCCAACTTCGCAAACATTTGAGAAATCGACCATTTTATTTATTTTTTATTTTATTTTTTATCCTCACCTGAGGACATTTCTCCATTTTTTTTTGTTCAGATAGAGTGAAAGGGAGAGAGAGAGAGAAAAAAAAAATCAACGACGTGAAAGAGACACATCGAGTGGCTGCCACCCGCACAACCCAACCAGGGCCGGGGACAAACTGCAACCGAGGTACGTGCCCTTAGCGGGAACCGAACCTGGGTCTCTATGGACCATAGGTCGACATTTTAACCATTGAGCAAAACCGGCCAGGGCACCCCACAGGGTTTTAAAAGTTAAAAACTTTACTTGTGCAAGTCAGAATCTGATACCAATTAAATGGTGACAGCTTTGCCAATAAACAAGAAAATGCTCTTTCATGGCTAGGAAGGGTCAATATACAATTTCAATATATATAAAGAATAAATAGGCCCTGGCCGGTTTGGCTCAGCAGTTAGAGCGTCGGCCTGCGGTCCAGAGAGACCCGGGTTCGGTTCCCGCTAAGGGCACGTGCCTCGGTTGCAGTTTGTCCCCGGACACGGTTGGTCATGAGGGTGGCAGCCACTCGATGTGTCCCTTTCATGTCGATGTTTCTCTCTCTCTCTCTTCCTCTCCCTCCCTCCCACTCTATCTGAACAAAAAATAAAAAAATGTCCTCGGGTGAGGATTAAAAAAAAAAAAAAGAATAAATAATCTATGTAAGATTTTAAAACACCGCACATGGCTCATTGGAAGTGTGCACTGAGCACTGGGAACAATTCATAAATGTCCCCAAGCATGGCTCACAAACACCTGGAGTCCCATTGCCAGATGCCCCCACACGGACCCGTCACCTTTGGCTTGTGTGGTGTCTCTGACTTGACAGACGCCTGCTGCCCCTGAGAATTTCCTGCGTGAACTTGGCTTTGAGTCTTTGTAAGTTCCTTCCTGGAGCAGATCGAACGTTCTAGAACATCCATTTTAATAAAATACAAATAGAACATAGTTATTATTACTAATTTTTATTTGGCAATGCTTCCCATGTATTTCAAGTGTATTAAATGGGCCGGATTCATTTTTAAAAGTTTACAAGGAGAGAGAATAAATCCTTGAGGTATTCCAGGGCCCACAGGGATAACTCAAAGTCATTTCTCGATTAAAAGAGTCTGTTAATATTTAAACTTTGGGAAGGTTGTCAAATATACTTAACCAAAGGATCATGGCATAAACTCTTTGTAAATCTAGATAAAATAAACATATATTTTATGGCAATAATTCTAAAAGACATCAATCAAACTTAAACTGGCTTTAGTATCAAATACTCTGTCCAGACCACAGGATCCTGTTTAACCTACATAAGTATTCAATCTCTTTCGGCCACTATAGTATCGTCCCTTAGTAATGCCATCTGGAGGCAGAGAGTATTTTATATAATACGCAGAAAAGCAGGTATCACAGACAGACCCTACACGTGCTCTGAATTACTAATTTTTGTAAAGATGCAAAATTTTTTCTCGCTTGCTTCTGATGCCTGTAAGACGTCTGGAGAAGGGATCCAAGGTGCTACAACGGACACAAGGACACACCGGCCAAGCAGGGAGACCTGCTGAGACTCTCAACGGGAGCGCCAAGGGCAGTGGAGGCGGCGTGGAAACTAAGGAATTAAGCCCGTGGAGGGAGCCTGGTGGGGCTGCCTCGCTCCTTAGAAATGATGAGGGAAAGCAGCCACGTTGGCCAGGGCTGCCTTGGCCCCCCGAAAAGTGACGCGCCAAAAGCGGGGCTGTCGGGGCTGATGTCCTAGGTGCCCCAGATCTGCGTAGCTGTGGACATGTTTACCCTGTGTCCTGAAGTCTCTGTCCACTTTAATCGGACTTTGGGGGGTATTAAGTTGTACGAGTTTCTTACACAGTTTGGATATTAACCCCTTATCAGATGTATCGTTCGCGAATATCTTTTCCCATCTAGTGTGCTGTGTTGGTTTTGCTGGAGGTTCACAGCAGTATTCCTAATAATTCTCACAGGTGAAGAAACCCAAATCTCTACGAATTGAGGTGAGGATCCATAAAACATGGTATATCCATATACTGGAATATTGCTCAGCCATAAAGAGGAATGAAATGCTCATACGCGCGACATCATGGATTAAGCCAGTCACAAAATGCCACATATCAAACTATTCCACTTATGTAAAATGTCCATTGCAGGCAAATATACTGAGACAAAAAGTAAATTAATGGTTGTTTAAGGCCATGCAGTGGGGTGGGGGCAGGGGGGGGTAGTTGTGTGGTCATGGCCAAACAGTACTAGGTCTCTTCTGAGATGAACACAGTAGCGGGTGAATTGTGTGGTATGTGCACTACATCTCAATAAAGCTACTTTTCTTTTAATCTTGAAAGTCAAACTCAAATGAAACACATGAACTTAACTGAGATTCAAGTTAGTAGCATGACCGGAAAGAGAAATATCAGGTGATTTAAAAGCCAGTAATTTGCCTCAGCCAGGTGGCTCAGTTGGTCGGAGCATCACCCTGTACACCCAAAAGGTTTCAGGTTCAATCCTTGGTCAGGCGTATATGGGAGGCAACTGATTGATGTTTCTCTCTGTTTCTCGCTCCCCCTCCTCACTCTCTAAGAGGTGAGGATTAAAAAAAAAATAAGCCAGTAGTTTGACTTTTTATTATGACTCAATATTATGAAATATTGCCTAAGGACAAAAATAACTGCAAATAATTTTTTAAAAAATTTTTTTCTTTATTGATTTTAGAGAGAGAGGAAGGGAGGGAGAGATAGAAACATCCATGAGAGAAAACATCGACTGGCCGCCTCATGCACGCCCCCCACTGGGGATCAGGCCCACAACCTGGGCATGTGCCCTGCCCGGGAATCGAACCGGCGACCTCTTGCTGCAGGGTCGACGCTCAGCCACTGAGCCACACCGGCCGGGCTTTCTGTTTTCTTTAATAGAAATTCAAGCCTCTTCGAGGGCAAGTTTTATGAGCCCCTCTAGTTACACGGAGCCCTTTTCGGGCGGCACTGTCCGCACGACCACCCCCTGCCCCGGCGATCGAATGCTGTGTGAAGTGACAGGAAGCTGTCGCAAGAGCCTGGGAGGCGGGGACCGGCCTCTGTGCACAGGCAGTCTTTGAGACCAACGTTATTTCCACACTGAAGACAATACAATAATTAATACATACTAATACGAGAGTGCACTCTGTGTGTGCCCCACGGCTGGAAACCCGCTTTGCCCCACCTGCATATCCGGTGTCCCTCACTTTCCCGAAGACACCGGGTCTTCCTCGTGGACCTGGGACACGCAGTTCAGCCCGGGCCGTGGGCCGAACGTGATGCACAGCCCGCACGTCCTGAGGGGCCCTTCCAAAGGCGGGACTCTGGACAGGCAACACTGCGGCACAGACGGTAAGTGGCAGCGGTCCGAGGACGTGGTGACACCCTGCGCCCCTGCTGTCCCCAGCGAGGACAGCCTTCAGCCTCCGCGGTGGCAATTGGGCTAGGGGGGTCTCATCTGCACAGAATGCTGTGAATTTGCAGTGTGCCTTCACTGCCGCTAGGCTCCACGGCACAGGAGGGTGGGTGTTCCCTGTCCCTCGGAGGGAGAACGGAGCCTGAGGAATTGGGGTCCATCCAAGGCGCGGGACTGGCACCCTGAGCCCTCCCGAACACTGCTCAAAGTTGAGCTTGCATGCGACTCAACAGGATGCTGTGAAGAAAGTTGTCGGGAGCCCGTGCCGGGCCTGAGCTTCTGCATCCCTACAGGCTTCCGAGCTGGCGGTGTCCTCTGGCCACGCTCTGGGCGAGGCTGACTCCGTGGGCTCTGCCGCAGGCTGGGCCTTGAGCCGCGCGGTCCGCTTTCCCGGTGTGCGTGTCTGGGAGGACGGACTTCACATCACGTTTAGCAAGAGAAAGGAATCTCACCTTGAAAACCAACCTGATCGCTGTTCCGGATCAGGCAGAAGTGACCGCAAGGTTTGGCGATGGTCTTCGGTCCGGCAGCCCCTCCCTGCTCCATGCACTCCACCTGTGACTAACGGGGGTGTGCGGGAGTGACCACGGCTCGAGACGGGCAGAAACGCGCGTGGGCACTCCAGTGTGTGTTTATCGTTCTGACTTGGGCTTTGTCGGAAATTATAACCTATCTCAATCCCAGGTGACCTTGAGCCTTGGAATCTGGTCAAGGGCACTGCTCCCAACTAAGCACCCTTCCTGGCTCTGCACGTCTGTGTGGAGGGCACTTTCCAGACAGGCCCGGGACTGCTCCGCACAGGGCATGGAGTCCGGTCCGGTAACCCCACCGCATCCTAAACGCTCGTCACGGGGAGCGTGGCACGGTCGGTCCCACTGCAGAAGATTCGGTTCTGAAGAGAGAACAAGCTGTCCCGCCAGAGACTGGACCCGGCTTTGGGAGTGGAGAAGGGCACACCGTGTCGCATCCTTGCCCCTCCCGCGCCCTGGGACAAGATGGGACAGAGGCCAGCTGACAGCCCACAGGCCAGCGTGGTTGTTTGACCCTTTCCTTCTAACTGGACAGACTGCTGTGGTGGTGTCAGTCTTCTTCATAGAGCACTTTGGTTTTCTCTGTGACACTTAGTGTGCATGGGGCTCATATGTGACTGAAGGACACATACCTCTGTTGATACATTTCCAAATATCAAACCTACGCTGGGAGAGTTTGTTTCGGGCCAAGCCCGGGCATTGAACAGAGGGTGCCAGGGACGGGGCGAGCTGATAGCTGCTGTATCAGGGGTCAAAGATGTCACAGAACATGTTCTCACTTTCAGGATCCTGATGATGGAGCATTCCGCGTTCTTCCCCTTGCTCACTCAGCTGCGATGGTGAGTTCCCCGTGTGTTGTTTCACACTAGCGTTTGAGGTGGTGAGCGTAGATTTAAAAAAAAAAAAAAAGAGTGGAATAGAAAAGATGACATTCGTTCTTAAGGATCACCTACTCTGGCCGAGAAATCTGAGAAATAAAGCTAATAAACACGGCAATGTAACAAACACAGACTGGTCCCGAGTCACAAATCCCAAAGCGTTTTGGATCCCCGTGCAAGGGAAACCTTCACAGAGGAGGTGAGATTCGAGCGAGACTTCCAAGGATAGGTAGTATCCTAACGAAGGGAAAGTTAACAAAAACGTAAAGGCAGCTCAAGGTTTCTGAAAAATGAAAGTGGACTCTTTGGGCTCCAACAGGCCAATGGAGGAAGCTGTGGGTAAGGACTGGAAGGTAGGGTGTGGCCATGTCGTGAAGTGTTCTGAAAAATCGCAGCTCAAGAGTTATTTTAGTGGCCAGGGGAACCCACTGAAGTTCAGTAAGTCTTCGGATTTACCTTACTGAACTTTGGGGTTTCCGGAGAGGAATACGTATCTCCTAAAGCAAAAGGAGACATTCCTACCTAATCGTAATTCCTTGGCGCTCGGAGCACTA